AATTTCATGCAGTCACTATCTGCGCATGAGTATCCGTAAGTTCAAAAGTGCGAAACAGTGCGACATGATGCCTGTGCATAATCTAAGGCCCTGTGAGAAGCGGCGGTCAGTTCATATCATATCAATCAGTTGTAGGCATAAGCGCACGAGGAAAATTTGCCTGAAGAACGCGATCGTTTCGCCGAGGTATGTTGTTATTGTTCTAGATTGGTTCTAGACGAATAAACTCACGTTCTGCGTATATTCGTGATCCCGTGGATTTACCTGAAGCCACGCAACGGCGTTACGGTGCCAGCGGGAAGAATGGAGTGTTAATGTCGCACAGTATTCCACTAAGCATGCGATATCCAGGTTAGGACGGCCACCATCCCCGATCTCTCCTCTAACCAAATCAGAATAAAAATTAAATAAAACTCACCCTTCGTCCTTCCACCCTATCGCGCGTTTCATGACATCAAAGGGGTCGTATAAGTATATACACCGAAGTGCTCGTCGAGTAGCAGTGCAAGCAGTTCACCCGTTTGCGCTCACCGGATTTCTAAGTTAAATAGTGAGGCTCCGCGTCCCCTCCAAGTGAAGTCGAAAACAATTTTTTTCTGAAGTCGCCTTCAGACAGATGAATCCACGGTGCACCGCCTCGTGGCCGAGAGGTTATTTCTCTCGCACTCGACGCCGCTAGTAGATGCAACCGGACCAATGCGAGCCGCCTTCGACGAGGCGACGTATGCACATTGGCTGGAGGTGTGTTGGATTAAACTCGCATATCGCATACCGGACTCAACGAGCCCATTTAGCCATTAATTTCTGAAAGAGGTAATTAAAGATAGCAGGGAATACAGGCCCGATTATCCGTCGCAGCTTTTGTGTGGTGTGCTCTGGAACTAAATTCTAAAGTCAAAACAAAATTTCCGGCTCCGCTCATTCCCCAGCAAGTCTTCTAGAGCCCGGAAAAGCCTGATCGCGGGAACCGGCTGTCCGTGCTGGCGTTTCGAATTCCCCGCGTCCCTGAGGGCGTCGCCCACGGCGTCAAACGAATCCTCCCTCGGACACAGCGTGATGGTTTGGAGCTGTGGCCAAGGCTGCGAAGACGGGCCTAGGATGTCGTTGATCAACTCTCGCGTGAAGCATTGGTTGCCCAACGTCAGCGAAGAGAGGGCGGGGAAGAGCGCGAGCGGGGGAGACGATATTGTGCTCGAGAAGGGGATATCCGATTCACATGTACACGAATCATTGTTGATGAAGGACAAGGAGGTCAGGGCAGGGAAGGACGAGTGAGGGAAACTCGTCGTATTGAAGATGGCAAATATCTGGTCGCCGTGGGTGCCGTCGATGATGAATTCGGTCAACGCGGGGGTGTCAAAAAGATCGATCATCTCCAATAGATAAGCCTCGTCTTCGCCATCCAAGACCAAGATGTGGAGGAATTCCAGAGCAGGGAGGTCGAACCGGCGCTCCAATGGGGGGGAGATATGGCTCAGGTCGAGATGTAGATGGACCAACAACGGGCATTGTGTCGCGATTGCGGTAAGAAAGTTGTTATTGGTCCAGTCGACCGAGTGGTAACCTCCCAATACTTCCAGATGTGTAAGAGATGTCGTCCACTGACTCGCCGCCTGCACGTGAAGTTTAATGCCATTCATTTTGAGAAAGCCTAACCTCGGGGCTCCGGACGAAAACATTTCAACGGTGATCCAATAATCATCGTAGTCCTGGATTTCGTTTGTGATCTCGAGGTGCTGTAGATTGGGAGCTGCCACATCGCGGAAGGAGGCCAGCACGTCTCCTCCCCACTCTGTGCGGAACACAATCCTTAATCTCCATATGCGATCCATGTGTGGGACAATCTGGCTGAACCGCTCTGCGAGCAGCTTATAGTAATAGGCGATGCCCTTGTTGGATCCGCGTAAGGTTGCCGATATGAGACATGCTCTGGAACGCTCCATGTAAAGTTTTAGGATTTCGTCCGATCCATCGGCATCACAGTTGACGTCGACGAGCGTCCAGAGCTCAGGGGACCCGACAACAACGTCGCGAAAGTGGCGGGAAACATGGGACCACGCCCATTCTGATTTAAAATCCGTAGACTTTGAATCTGCGGCGCGACCCTCTTGTCCCGCGCCAACGATGGCTACGAGAAGCTCGGTCGGAAGAGAAGACAGTGTGAGCATAGATCCAGCGCCAGGGCTGGAGGTCATGGCAGTCAGAAGCAAGATCAATGTGCACAGCCACTTCTGTCTCCACCGGTACCGTCGGACATTTGCAGATACTTACGGGCGCACTGAAAAATTCTGTTGGCAGTGTAACAGTCATCTTGGGCTTAAATCGGCGCTGAATCAAGGCTCGGCATCTAAAAGTGCAAATTGGAGGTCGACACCCGGAATGCGTGCAAAATAATACATCAAGGACTTAGAAGCCCCTCCTCCATTTCTCTATATATTCTCTTCAACATTTTCGCGCAGCTCCTCGAGCAGCCCTGCCATGCGAGGGAAAAAAATAAGAACAAGGCAATTGAGCGAAGCAGAGGAAAATGAATCGATGGACAAACGAGGTCCAATGCGCAGGGAAGAGCTGCAGAAAGCTCCGCACATACGAGGCTCGGGCCCTACGAGGCACGTCTCGGCCGTAGGGTCGCGACGGAGCGGTCATCACACCAATTTTTTTATTTAAAAAAAACAAGCGGGAATGAAGAAGAATCAAGTATTGCCAGCGACCCGAAGCTCGGGGTAGCGCGAAAGAGAACGAAGGCGAGGCGTCTGAACTGCGAGGACAAGGAGGGTGCGCGTTGAGTGCGCGGCTCCACTCCACGCCGAACGCGATTCCATTCAAAACGATCGCGAGCGCGCGATTCGGACGGGCCGTTCCGCTAGCTGTAAGTGTACCTACACGCGGCCCCAGTTTCGCCCGCCTATCACCTCCCTCGCTCCGCACCCCACCCCCTCGCCATTCCCGCCCTCTGTCCCACCAACTCGGATAGGGACGGGGGAGGAATACGCATACCGATCGGCTCCCGACATCCCTCCATCGAGCGAGCATGACTCGGACAGACAATACGGGAGAAAGAACGAAAGAAGGGCCGGGACGTAGACAGCATACGTGCCAGTCCCCGGGCACAAATACATGTGTACCGCGCTTCCCGCCTCTTCCGGGCACACAAGTAAAAACCGCCAAAAAGAAACCAGATGGCGGGGTATTGAATAACGCGACACGCACCACTGAATCCCAGAATATCCATCCCAAAAACAAAAAGCGGGAGGAACGATCCCGTAGGGCAGCTAGCAGGAGGCACGAGCCTGCGGTGTGTAAGCGTTGAGATAAGGAAGGGAATGGTAAGAAAGCAAACAAGCACCCGTAAACGGCATGAGGGCGCATTTTCAGCGGTGCGGTGAGCACGATCGCGATGCCGCTGCGGACCGTAGAAGCGGCTCCGTAAAGCACTAGTGACAAGAGGTGCAGTGCGTAGAGAGTGCACTATGTATCGGCGGATTTGAAGAGGAGGAGGCGGCGCTCGAGCTCGAGGTCTGCGAGGTAGGAGATCTAGAGTACCAGGAAGCCGAGGGAGGAAGGGCCTGAGTAGGGAGGTCGGGGTCAAGTCCAGTACTTCAAGGACAGCGGGCGGGAGGGCGCGGGGCGGCGCGCAGAGGCGGCGCGGACATCCGGCGGCGGCGCAAACGGGGCGGGCGGGCAGCGGGGTCGCCGTCGGGCATGGTGTTGAGAAAGATGGTTGTCGTCGACAAGTGAATAGGAGGGATCAAAAGCCATTTCCTTTTCTAGCCACCGAACTCTCTTCCTCCCTCCACGTTCATCCCGGCGTTTCTATCGGAGGCGTATCCTTCAACGTTCGATAGCTTAGCATATCAGATGCTCTGTATACTACTACTAGTCTACTAGTCACCCAAAATTCACCCAGGCTCTTACTCGAGACTGGCGGTAGACACCCATCACCCCGTTTCGCATCTCGGTCCTCCGCAATCTCCTTCACTCGAGCCTACTCAAGCCTCATTCTGGTCCATTGGAACCTAGGGTACTTGCACGGTACTTCTGTTTAGGCTTGCTGCTCAGTCTCATTCGCCGGTGGCTTCTCTTGACGCGGCCGCGGCGCGCTCGTGTTCGTGCACGACTCGGACGGTGTGCGACTCGACTCATTTGAGAATCCACCCTCCCATCCTCGACCATGTCTCTTGGAATGCTTGACTCAGAGGCCACCTTCTGCCGGAATCATATCGTTCAGCTTCTGGCCATTCGAATCCCGGTCCCTGGATTTGTGGCCTACCTTAACCTGTCCCTTCCCACAACACAGAGCTGAATGCCTCCGGAGCTCAGCCCTCAATCACCTTAAAGCTGTGCCGAGGATTTTGAGGAAACGTGAGTTCGACTCCCAGCAGCGGCTTCACCTTGAAATCGTGTTTTTTTTTTGTTTCTTTTCTTCTTTCCCTGCAGTTCGTCCGTAATATCCATTGACAACATCCAAGCGACCTTAGCAGTGTATATTTTGACGGAGTAGCCTTCTGTGTATTTCTTTAATCCTGCCGTCCTTAGGTTAATGAACATGCCTCCACAGATGAGCGGTTAAATCACCTCAGCTTATGATCAATAGTTCATGAGGAAACATGGGTTCGACTCCCACCGGAGGCATAGCAAGGGAAGTCGTTTTTTTTTTCTTCCTTCAATTGTTTTATTTTGAATACTGTCCAGTCTACTCAGAACATGATTCAAAGTTCAACCATCCATCGTAACAACCTTATAATTCCTCGAATTTAGAGCCGCCTACTTAGCCTTTGCTCATTATTTCAGGGACACTGATTAATTGGATGAGGAACCGTGAAGGGTCAAGCTTCCGTGGATCAGCGGTAGATCGCCCCCTGACGTCGGTTCGAATCCCACCGGACGCATGTATCGCTGCAGCGTTTTTTTTTCTCGTGTTGCATTATTTCTTTTTTAACCCTTCGAATTCCCTTACATGCAACCGTGTCTGCCGGTCATGTTTGTCTGGAATCCATCACGCCTCTATGGATCAGTTGGAGATCACCCCGTAACCATGTTGTCTGGACAAGAATATCTTATGGGGAGACGTGGGTTCGAATCCCACCAGAGGCATGCGCGAGGTATCTGTTTTGTTTTTTTTGTTTTAATAGCTTCATCCGACTGTATCGACGACAATCTTGTGTTGAACATAATGTACAACCAATCCAAACCACATCAATTTGTCCTCAGATCCGAATCTCACGTTCCCCGTTCTTATTATACTCATTCATAAAATACTTGTAGTTACAGAACTAAGAGCATAGGGTACCAAGCCTCTGTGGATCAAGGTGGATCACCTCAGAAAATTCAGTCGGATGTCCATCTATTTGAGTAGCAGTGGGTTCGAATCCCACCAGAGGCATAATCCTAGATTGACATCCCTTTTTGTTTTGTTTCATTTCTCGCTTTTCCCGGGCTATCTTGTAGCTCGTATATTACTTTTCCAGTGGTCCAGGAATCTTGAAACTTCAGCAGCCGGCACGGATAGTCCGATGTACGCCTATCCATCTGAAATTTCATTGCTCCATTCAAAGTCCTCATTCAAACTTATTTTACCTCCATAAAATGCTCTGAATAATCCCCAAGATCGAATAGGTATGACACGGAGCCCATACTCGGTGAATCTCACCCGGAATCCGCAAAAGTGTCGAACTGTGGGAACACGCTCGGGAAGTTCCGCTGGTCCGTTTAGATTCCTTTGGTGACAGCGTTGCACGCTTATTCGCACCAGATAAATCGCATATATATTTAGAAACGGTACCTATGAGATTCAAGCTTCGAAACCTAGCTCCCTCGAGGCTTACCCAAAGATATTGTCAACCGCCGCAGTCCGAAGTAACTCAGTCGCCTCGGAACAACGCTCGGAACAGGGTAGTGTTGATGAACATAAATGTTGCTTAGGAACAGCTGAAACCTGGCGTACTAAATTTCAAGAAATATGCATGGCACAGGGTCCTATGACATTGAGAGAGTTTCCTGCTGTGCCCTACACATAGTCAGAATTAATATCCGTATCAGAGGTCTCGCGGGTGTAAATATGCGACCCCGTTGAGTTTCATCCTCGGATTGCCCCTACGGAATCAATTCACAAAGTTCCCTTCGTTAGGACCTGGGCCAAGGTCCCGGAGTAGGTATGAGCATTCGTCGACGGGACCACGCGGTGACCGATGGTGCCAACATTAACCTCGGTTTCCGCCTGCCGCTCCGAATTTCCCTCTTCGAATGCCGAGCCATGTACGTCCTCGCCTTTGTACACCAACCCGCCCGAGTAAACTCCTTCAAGTTCCATCATTCAAATAATACCCGGGGGAGAAATTGAGGTTCACATACCCGATGCTTCACGCGAATACGCATGAATATGAGCATTCGCAACACCACCGTGCAGCGCCGGATTGCCCGCCGCCCATAAACCGCCCACTTGTGATTTTCCATTAGTAAATTAATGTACTACGGCGTGGATAAGGAAGTGTTAGCCCTTACCGGACTGTCCTCTGCCCGTGGGACGTGCGTCGACAACGGAGAGACTGCAGAAGAGAAGGAGTAGGGCTCACGGTAGAATCATGGCACGGGGAATTGAAGTTGGATGCGGATGTAGAGGCGTGGGTTGAGCGATTACTATCCATCGTTAGCGTGCATTTATAGCTCGGTAAAATCGTACCCCGGGTAAGCATTACGCAGTGCTGCAGACCCAGGTAGTGGAGTGGTTTGATGCGAGCTACTATCTGATGCACCAGGCGTGGAATGTCACGGGCGATTGTACTCCCTAGTTAATTATAATAATAACTGGACGACCGATCCAGAGCAGTCTCGCAGTTGGACAGAAAGCAAATTTGAGAACTGACTGACTCGGTTATCCGAAATAGTCCTTATCTGAGAAAGATATGTCACCTTGTTGACGACCACCACCGCTGACTCTGCCATTTATTCTCCGCTTGAGTTTCCGCTCGAACACTTCTTACAAAGTTCATAACTACAGAGAAGGTGCATGTATAAGTAGATTTTAACAGGACAGATCTAGAGCAGCGCTTACATATGAAGTCAACGGCTGAGATTTAGTTCGAGACCTCGGTCCCTCAGGTCTTCCATCCGGTTCTTGAGAGTCTCCATCCTCGCCGCCGAAAAGCTCTTCTGAATCACAGCCAAGATTCGCAACCGCACAGCATTTGGTGCAACCATGTCGTCTTTCCAACACCGCGACCTAATCGCGGCCTCGAAAACACCATCTCCGAAATGTTTCGCAAGCGCAGCTCCTGCAGCTGTGGCGTTAGCTGAGGAGCGGACCGTTCCCGGAGGTAAACGCCCGGAGAAATTCATCGGTGATGCAGTTTGAACACCCGTTCAGAACGAGTGCGGTGAGTGCTGGGGTGAGTCGAAGGAGGGCGAGCAATTCTTGGGTGGTTAATATACCGTGTGTCAAGGCAATCCGCACAACATTCGGGGCACGCACCAGGAATGAGGAGAGTTGTTGAGTGGGCCATGGTGCGCTTGTAGTGGGGCTCAATACGAGCTCGAGGGTGTGCAAGCGTGGAAGGCTTAACAGCGTGAAGCAGGTTCGACATGCCCGAACACAACATGGTGGAATTGCACTATGAGTGTTCTAAGCGAAGGGAGGATGGTGGGCTGCGCGGTGACGACATCGAGATTGGTCCATTCAGCTGTGTCCAATTTCGCGTAAAAAATATTGCTGCATTGCAGCAAGATCGAACGGCAAGTAGCGGGAATTCGTTCGTTGAGTTCGAGGTGCGTAAGTTGCTTCCAAGGGAACTGGTGCACAATATTGTGAGCCGAGCCTACACTGCGCTCCACGGTTAGATGGCGAAGGAGCGAGCAGCCCAAGAACAAGGCCAGCTGCAGTGCTGCACGGACACATTGTTCTCCTGATCTACGCCCTCTCTCGAGATCAGTTTGAAAACCTCAACAGAACCCGAATCAATTTTGAGTTTTTTCCACCGCGTCACAGTCGGCACTAAGACCCGGAGAATGGCTTTCGTGGAGGTGGCGAGGGGGACGATGGAGTGTGTCTTGTCAGTGACAGACACTGAGATGGGGAGCGGAGATGAGCGGTCGAGCAATGTCTTTAGAAGGTCCAAATAGTCCTCCTGAGGATTTTCCGTCCGCAGCCAATCATCCACCAGGCCTATAGCCCACAGCTTCGGTGAGCCTATGACAATCTGCCGCCAGGAAGAGCAGATCTGCGAAAGGAGGAAAGCTCGGTGGACTGGATGGTGTGGACCAAAAGAGGATTACGTTGCAGGACGGTACTAGTCTCCGAATCGGACTGGATTGCGAGTGAGAAAATCTCCACCAGTAGTTCCGTCGGAACTTTTCCCACTGCTGAAATCATAAACCTCAGTTGCCCAAGGGCGCGGCGCTCATTCTGGACCTAAACCGAGAGGCGGTGAATATTAGCCTCGATTGCGCTGATTCGAGCCATAACGGCTGATTGAGAGTTTGAAAGACCGGGGAAGGATGGATGATCATGGATCCATGGCGGCGGCTGAGAGAAATGTGAGAGGAACGAAGAATTTCGGAAGAAAGGCCGGTTACTTGTAGTCTCCCTAGTCAGACAAATATCAAGATTATTGTTTTTTGAGAATTTGGAGAAGGACAAAAAAATAACCTGATATTTGTCGATAATTGGTCGGAAGATACCATCAAAATGGTGTATGCCAACAACCGATGGCAATGCCGAGTGATGGCCTTCACGGAACCGTCGTTAGCCGCGACCGTGCCAGAATTGATTCTGCTGAACCGCCGAATTTAATTGGCCGGCTGAGTGAATTGGCCAGTCTGTGGCTTAAAGAGTGCATTTGGGAGTTCAGATTAACGGTGCACCGGTACACCGGCGGCTATGATCGGGAGGGTTCACAGCCATTTTGATGCATCGGAGCTTCAATATTTTGTGATGTGATGGGCTATGCGTGCTAAAATAAACAATGTACAAACAAGTGCGCGTTTTGCGATAATGTCCGACCACGACGCGTCTGAAGCCTCCGTCGACGCGCCACAACAGCCCCGGAGCCTCACACTTGCTCAAACACTCTGCTTCACACGACTGCTTTCTGTCCTTAAGCGTGACATTCTTCTTGTACAGCCTGTCAATGTAACCACTGGCACGGAGGAAGCTCCTCTTGTCCTTCCTCCCAGCATTACAGAGTTTGTCGCGGATGCTGTCGGTATCCCCGAGTCCTCTGTCTCTGGCTTCTGGACTCGCTTGAGGGAAGACATCTGGGATTTACCCGAGCAAACTCTAAGCGAGCACGAAGAAGGACTTTTCCGGGAACATGGCTGGAAACGCGGTATAAGTAATTGGCCTACCCTTCTAATATGGGGAATTCACTGAACCCTGCTGCAAGCTTCTTTAACCCTCTACCCTCCATCCCACCACTGCACGAACAGCAACTGTGGCCGGCACAAGCATCTTACCAACGCCGAAATGCGACAAGTTGTTGTCTATACTGTCGGCAAAGGAGTTGTTCCAGCATGGGAGGTGCAGCTGTACTGCCGGGACTGCAATACCACCTACTATCCAAACTTTTCCGTTCATCGGGGGACACGTACATATTACGCCGGCATTCCGCAATACATCCAAATCGGTGGGCATCAGTACGCTGAAAGAAAGTTGGCGGGATCATGGATTAGTCTCATGCTGGTCGCACAGTACGTGTAGGGACTTTTTCTGCCCACCCATATACTTAATCATGATCAACTCAGTGTTTCCGCCACCAACTGTTCACGCGTATACGATATGGCCTTATCCGGTCAGGAGGAGCAAGATTTTGCTGCTGGCGGTTGGCAGTTCGGTCCCTCCTCACCACTGACCACGTCTGGGATGCATTCATTATCTTGACGCTACTCGACTACCACGATCGCCGCAACACATGCCTCCAAGCCCCGCATACTGGAGATCAAAAAGACAGGTTTACGGCTGCCATGACCGCGCGTAATGTGGAAGTGATTGTTAGCGGCCAAGACGTCGTCGACCACTGCTGTGATAAGTGTATGCGTGAGTGGACCAGGCCGGATGGTACACCGTGTAAGTAAAATTTATCCTGTTAATCTTCGCACAGGAA